CCTTAAATCGTTTGTCGATTTTTAAATATATATACTTTACTGTTCCACCAAAGAAACTGTGTTCTACGAAAAGTACTAGGCGCAGGACGTACTGGAGACGGTATATAAAAATTCACGTTAAACAATCGGGCTAGCTACATTGTGCTCGGACCGTATTGGCTTCCTTATTTCGTGTTGATTTATCTCATATCGATCAACGTTTCTAAATCTTCGTTGTTCAAAATAATTGTACCAGAATGCTGAAAGAGCTATGACTTTTGCATATCCCTAATATAACGTGAATAATCCCGGGAAAAAATCTTTCATTCATAAGCATGCATGAATTATAGTATTATATAAAATTATACATCAAATATGTCCATACATTTTTTTACGTTATATCGTTCTGTATAATTTTATAGATAATTTATACACATGATTTTATATGAAAAATTTTTCAACGGGAAAAAATCGCTCATTTATAATTATATATAATTTTGTATAATTGTACACAATTATATATAATTAGAAATAAACAATTTTTCTCATTAAAATTTTTTTCATTTAAAAGCATAAACTTATAAAATTATACAGAACTGTGTAGAGTTGTATAGAATTATATAAAAATGTACAATGCAAAACTGTGTATGGACTTATTTGTTGTATATATTTATATAATTCTATATACTCACATGTTCATGCATGACAGATTTTTTACCGGGATGTTATGTGGACGAGGCGGTGCGGGCGTTTTCTCGGTGATGGAGCGATGATTATTTAATCGGTCCGCGTGATTAACGACGATATATCTCGGATCGCGCCACCAATTTGCCCGCATAATTTTCCATGACGCGACCTTGCGCGAACCTGAAGCTGCTAACCTTGCACGAGTACACACCCTCAATTGAAAGTGCAAGCGCCGGCTGCCGATAACCCTCAGTCGAGCGCGTTCGCGCGCGTGTGTGCGAAATACTGACACTGACAAATTACGGAGTTTAGAACTTGTTAATCTTGATTATCACCCTCGTCGCACCGCTATCGCCGATGCGCAGGATGAAAAATTGTACGGGGCGCGCGGCCGCGCAGACCAGACGCGCGGGTCCGACAAAGTTGCCAAGTATATATTGCGTGTTTTCGAAAGTTCCTTCTAAAGCTGACGGTAAACTGCAGACTGCCGGAATCACCGGATTTAATGCGCAGCATCCACCCGGAAGTTGGCACAACGCGGACGAACTTGAGCCGACTCTACCGCTGAAGGGAAAGAATTAATTAACTGACTTTACAAACTTTCCTTGACGTTACGTGTTTTCGGGGATACGTTTATTGTCGAGAATGTAACGGATTGCAGTAAGTTTCGGATTCCTTTTAAGTTTAATTCCTTTTAAGTTTGATTTTGATATTGTATCAGTAGGTAGCCATTTTATTTTTCAGAAAATAATGGCAGAAACCATTGAGACGCGATTGTTTATATTGCAACGTTTGAATATCTTTAAGGTAAAATAATATCGACGAAAAAAAAATCACCTATTAGAGGCAAATCTAATGTAGAATCTCATAAAGCTGCGGAAATTTAGAAGATTAATAAGCGTACGTACATGTCACGTTAAAGAAATGATTTTCTCATATTGTTAGAAGACCGTGTAACATTTATTTCGCAAATTCCGTTTTAATCGTTAAATTAAACGATCGCGAGGTGCGGTGGTTGACGTGTCCAAAATATTCGGAGTGCGTGCGTCAGGCGTGCGTGTGATTTTCAATAGTCCCGTAATTCCCCCATCGGTCGGACTCGACTTGAGCAAATTCGAGCCGCAGCTGAATGTAAGCGACTCTCGCAGAGAATAATCTTGTATATTCGGTCTACGTAACCAGCGCACATAATTAATCGCGATAATCCTGGCGTGATGCAGCGCAGCCTAACGATATTATCCTCCGTCGCTGCGCCGCTGACCTTGTTTATAACGTCGAAATTAGTTATACCCAACATTCACGAGAGATCGTGTTTCCGGCTGCAAGTTGTGAGGAACATTTCCCAGCGGATTTCCCGGCGCATCGTCGCGCATGCAGCGCGCGCTGTGCTCGCATTTAACCTTGGGGCAACGCGTTGAGAGTGGAAACAGGTGGTAGAAAGATTTGATATTGATAAATACAAGGCGTCGAAAAAAAAAAGTGGGCGGAAAAACGTGACTTCCCCGTTGAGAGTTTCGTTCAATCGCGTACAACGTTACTCATTAATGCCTGGACCTCAGTTTTACCAGGATTCGCATTTCCATAATCTTTATTCCCGTCTATTGATGAGTTTCAGGCCGTAGTTCGCGCAGCTTCTACAGAAGTCTATTTATTAATGCCAGGACCTGCATTTTTATCATCGTTTCTCTCATCTATACAAATCACTGAATTTTAAGCTAAACGTGCGTTCTACAGCCTGAAACTCATCGACGTATAGATGGGAATAGAGATTATGAAAATGTGAACCCTAGTAAAACTGAGATCTAGACATTAGTGAATAGCACTGTGCTACTACGCACGGTGTAAAAAGAAAGGTGAGCCATTGCGCATAATGACGGGGGTCTAAAAGTTTCGACCAATCGGAGCTTGAGCTTCTAGGCAGCGCGCTGTTCAATGTGATCGCTCAGTATGCAGCCATATTGAATTTCGCTTAAAAGCTCAAAACGTAATTGGCTGACTATTCCCAACTACTTTTATCCTACTGCGCATCCATCGAAATGGTTCACCTTTCTTTTCACATCATGCTACTATGGGTCTGAATAGCTCGGTTGGAAGAGCATTCGCCCGGCAAGTGGAAGGTCCCAGATTCGAGTCCCAATCTAATCCCAGCCCGTTATTTTTCTCGCAGAAAATTAATAAGTGGCGCCTTAGTGCCTACCTCCCCGAAGATACCCTATTTATTATGGACCATAGGCATAGTAAGTTCCCTACCTCTCCCGTGTTGAGACATGTATGTACAGGGTGTTACAGCGACATACAGTGTGGCGGGTTGCCTGTTAGTGCAGACGCGCATGGTCGTTCATAACTGTGTTATAAATTTGGTGTATTAAAAAAAAAACAATTGACGCTACTTTCGCGACTGAATACGCCGAATTTATAACGCAGTTATGAACGACCCCGCGCGCCTGCACGAATAGACAACCTGTCATACTGACCTGTAGGTTGCTGTAACACCCTGTACAAACTTTAGATCGAGATCGCTGACAGTTGAATGGTCGTCTCATCTTATTTCTAATAAATACGAGGGTAACAAAAGAGTAAGGGAAATGATAGAGGGCAGCCATTCAAAGTATGTTGTCTCTTTCTAAAGTTCGTACACTGTTTCAGCCAAACACGCAGTCTATATATTGTACGTATATGGCTACTACAGACTTCTATAGAAGCTGTGTGAACTGCAGTCTGAAACTCATCGATGTATAGATGGGAATAAAGATTACGAAAGTGTGTCATTCCTGTAAAACTGAGGTCCAGGCATTAATGAATAAGACTGTACATACATACTGGCTGAAACTCAGTGATTTGTATAGATGAGAAAAATGATGATAAAAATGCAGGTCCAGGCATTAATGAATAAGACTGTACATACATACAGCCTGAAACTCAGTGATTTGTATAGATGAGAGAAATGAGGATAAAAATGCAGGTCCAGGCATAAATGAATAAGACTGTACCGTCAGTTCTACGCGTGAAGCTCCGGTTTCCGCGAAGCGCTCCCGTCGTTGTCCCTCCTCTGCCCTGATGTTTTTTTCCTTCCGTTCCCGCGTTTTTTTTTGCAATTTTCAGTGGTGAAATATCGTGGA